AACGAAGCAAATCCCAGACCATGCTTGCCTCAAAAAGGAGCCACCCTTGGTTGCTGACCTCCCAAAAATTCTCCACTGTCTGTTACTGCAAGATACCCATCTCACAGCCAGCCGCTTTCCCAAGCCACTGTAAGCCGGAGCAAAGATCTGTCTTAGCAGAACACACCCTTAGGTCAGCTTCAGCTGATCCATTATCCTGATGATGGTACACTTCAGTAGAAAAATGAGGGACCATGAAAGAATTGCTGCCATTTTAAAAGCTGGGGAAAAAGAGTGCTCTGTTTTAACTGCATAACTAGGAATTCATTCAACAGGAACCCAGAATAGGCTTTAGCAACATGAGAAAAATCTATTTTCCTGTTAATAAAGTCATCACTCAGGTTAACCTCAGCTCCAGCTAATTGCTGTATAATGAACTGACATACCAACTAATTAAATCAATCTAAAACATCTGTAATTTTGTCCTTGGACACCACCAGCAGGCTGGATTTCACCACAGCAATACCAGAGCCTAACTCGTAATGAAAGGAGGAAGGTAATGTTGCCTGTTGTAAAGGACACAGTTAGGGAAATCTCCGTATTTCTTTAAAGTGAAAAATAGTAGTGAGGTTGATGCAACTTCTGTTAAGTCCAAGATATCTAATATGTTCTGTTATAGATTTATCTTATCTCTAAATTCTCACTTGTGAAACTTGTGTTTCACAAGTTATGGGCTGGTAAGAAAACAGTTCTTGGCCAGAGGTTAAGCTAAAATATGTGGTGAGAATTCAAAGCTACAAGTCAGTAATTAATTTTGAAGTCTTGTCACATACATCAGTCACTCTTTTAAAAGTGCCCAAATTTGAAGGCCAACAAGGTACACATCTAGCAGAGACCCTGCTGATAGGGAAGAGCTGATATTCCTTACCTTTGTCAAACTGCCTAAATTAGGAATGAGCACACATCTATATGGGAGTTTTAAACCAGAGAGAAATAGTAGCACATTATGACTGATACTATATAGAACATACTCAGATACCAAAAACCATCCATCTGGCTCTGAATATTGAATTATTCTAAAACCAAAAATAGCACAATGGAAGGTAATAAACATCACTGAAGGCTGTGAAACTGCACTCCAAAGAGAAATCTCTAGTATCCGCTTGTGAAAATGGAACGCCACAAAAGCAAGTGATAAAATATTTTTAGCATCCCAGTGGAGACCACTGGGAAAACTCTGAAAGTGAACTGTGTGTTCACTAAGGGAAGCCACATGGTCCTTTTTGGAGCTGAGGATGAACAGTCAGAGATACAGAATTCACTACTGACCTTTACAGCCTTCCAGCAGCTTAACCCCTCAGAATAAAACGAGCTCTCCAGTAAGAGCAGTCTCCATTTGAAGGCAATGCCGCTTCATAGTATGAAACACATAAGGCTTCTGGTGTCAAAATGATAAATACAAGCCAAAGACATATACTCTGAAAGATCCCTCCATGGGAGATTAACCTCTGCTAACAATACAGGAGATTAACCTCTGCTAACAATACAACTGCGTGGCACCACAAAAAGGAAAGCTGAGGCTCTGATACCCTTAAAATCCCTGCCACGTTTAGAAGAAGTGTCAAGACCACAGCTTTGTCAAAGGTTTTTGTTTGACCTGCGCTGGCAATGAACAGAGTTAGAGTTAGTTTTGTATTGTGCTAGTTTAATAATGCAGATTGGAGTTTTGATGGCTGGTTCAGGAGAACCAAGTTCTGTAACCTCCAGCAGCATTTTCAGAGGAGCTCTAGAATATTTCAACATGATTGGCCTGTAGTTCTGTAAATTCAAAGTTAAAACTAGGTATACTGACCTCTATACTACATAATTTTATTCTGGCAAGGCTCTAAGAACAAGACTAAGAATCCAGCAAGCTCAGTCTTTAACTGGGACATTGTGCTTCATCATCATAAATATCTTAAACATTGCAGTAACCTGTGTAAGTTCATACAGTTTTGTCACTGAAGAAACATAGATAAGGACACTGAAGTATGTTTCCAACAATACTTGAAAGAAATATTTCCAGAATAAGGTTGACAAGTAACTTACCTAACAACCCTGGTTCTCATGGTAGTATTAGCTGGCCATTTGTTTTGAACAGACTTCTGTAGGCACCCATAAATATACCTCAGTGTCCTGCAGAAACAGTAGCCAATTACTCATTCTATTAAACTTACAGAATCAAAAAAGCTGGTCAGACCAACCTCCTGCTTGATGCAGAACTATTATCAACTTTATATTAATGCTGAGACAAATCTTTAAATTATAACTTAACTATATAATATATAATTAAATTGTTAAAGCTAACAAATTTATAATAATTCTATTTTAAAAGTTTTAAAAAGTAAATTTATAAATAACAAGAAAAAACTATTCTGTACAATTCTTTGATCATTTGGATGTGCATTCAATGTTTTGTAACTGTTGAAGTAGTATTCCCTTTTTGAAAAAAAAGACCACTTTGATGGTTGATTTTTCTTTTCATTTCTCTTAACTAAACAAAAGCTATTCTTTCCATATATGACACACATGAAAAAATACAAGAAAGTTAAGCACCACAGCAATAGTTCCCTCCCATTAAAAGAAAAATAAAAGAACCTTTGTGGTGTATTTCACAAAATGTTGGTCACTGCATCATAAACTTAAAAGGACAGCAATTTTCAATGCTGACCTTGCCAGCACTAACACAAAAGAAAATTCCATGCTACTCCCATGACTCAAAATTGAGGGTTTCATATACTTCAAAAGATAATGACGCTATGAAAGGAAACTCTGTACTATCCACTTTTTATTAATTATTCAAATCTGAGGTAAGAAAACAAGTTACTTTATGAATTAAAAGAAGTGGGGAAAAAAATGTCTGCACTTCCCTAGCAGACCAAAATAGGCATAGAATGGTATCACTATTACTTCCTACCTGTATTTTTAATATGCTGTTAATAATTCCATCTTTCTCAGAGAAGAAAGAGTGACAAATACATGTAATTGTCTGCTAGCTACCACTGTCTTCTACCTTTTTGTAAAAGATTAATTATTTTATTATTATTTTGTCCCTGATCTCTTGAGTCTAGTAGCTTCTCTTTTAGAAGAAAACCAAATGTGCCAGCCAGAGGCTTTTGTAAAACACTAATAATTACCAGAAGTGTTATTTTCCCCCGTCTATTTTTTCTGTGTCTATACAGCAATACTAAGATAAATCAGTAAGAACATAATTTTAATGTATAATGTTATTCATGGAAACACAAATTTTCAAATATAAATCTGAAGAGAAAAGTGCAAACTTACGGGGGCAGTATCTCTGCAGCCATGAATATCTTCTCCACCAATTCTGAAAGTATACTAAGTAGATGTGCCAAATTAGTGTTTACGTCTTCATTTTTTTCTAACTTTGAGGGATTTAACTAAATAAAAGGGAAAAAAAATATGTTTATTCTTGTATCTAGAACTATATATGTGTATTGTTTCTGAATATTACATACTGAGTACTGTTTCAAAGCAAATGAAATATTCTGCTGCTATACAAGTCTCTTGCAGAACTCTGTCATGTTTCAGTAACTTGTCAGGGAATGCAAAGCAACAGTTTTAAGTTCTAATACACATATCTGGCTTTTATCAGCTTGGATATTCACCATTTTTTGATCTGAGTGACTTTTTGTCTCTCTCAATCCAAATTTCTGATGACTCCCATCTTTTCCACAATGAAGTTAAAGTGAAACACAGGAGTTAGGAGGATCATTTAAGAAAGTTTCAGGATCAGTAACAACCATTTAATATGGAATTTTATAATTAAAATGTAAGTTCAAATCCTGACTTCTACAGTACCTTGAGTTCAACAAGAGTTACTTATATTAGGACATTCAGTAACTGCTGCAGAATGCCTGCTAAATAATTAAAAGAAATTTTGATTATAAAACTTAGTGAGTCCTACTATGAATGTTTGAAGCCAAAATCCAGGGAAAAAAAAAAATCTCTTAATGAATTCAATTCCTGTATTTCTGATATAAAAATGTCTAGTTCTAAAAAAAATATTAAATGCCTCTACAACTAATATTTAATGTAAACATAATAGTTAATAACTAATGGATTACTGTGTCAACAAACAAAAAATGTTTAAAAAAACACAGTTTAAGGTATCACCTCACAGGACTGCTTGCTCTCCATGATCTTTAATATGGAATCTTTCAGCGCATGATGAACAAAACTTGTTGCTGTGGCTTTCATATACTGCTCCATAAGTGTGCTTGCTAAAGTGGTGGCACGGAACAAGGTAGTAGCTTCATCTGAAAAAAGAAATTGGAAAGAGAAAAACTGGAAAAAGGAGACATCAAAAACAGAGGAAGAATATGGTTACTCTTTGACATAAGCTGCAACTAAAGGAGGAGAAAAAAAACAAGACAGCACCGGAACCCTTTCCTTCCCAGCTGTCCAGAATTCCAGAAAACTTTTGTGGGATTTAGTGCAGTACCTTCCATGCTTATCTCCCTGTCATTTAGTGTTCGTAACAACAAGGACTCAAGCTTTTCATGAAGAAAAATCTTCAGTAAAATGCCAGCCAACAGTGTTCTATCCTGTCCACAAACATTTGATAAGGCATAGACTACATGAAGTTCTTTCTGGAGTATAAGCTGAAAGAAAAACATATAACATATAACAGCTTTGGAAAAATATTATATTACATATCTATATATATATACAGCTGTCACTTAAAAATATTATTTGATTACATCAACCAGTATTACTGAGATTCCTCTCAATCAATAAAAAGTATTCATTTTGACAGCTAAACCATGGATGGTAAACATCAGTTCATACCTCTTTAAACTCATTGTACTCTTCTTCTGGCATGATCTTCTCCATGGAATATCGCGCTCGAACACGCAAAGATCCTGGCTCAATACCCTTTAATGGTACATAGGAACTGAGTTGAAACCACTCATCTGTTGCATGTCCTTTTTGTAATCGGCTTAATTGGCAACGCATGAACACTTAAAGGAAAAGAAACATTCACATACGTTATCTCCACCATAGCAATGATACTATTAAATAAAAAATTAGTTTTATTTTCAGCACTTCATCTTATTTTGGGGAAAAAATACCAGCAAGAGTAAACAAAAAGTTTTTTATCAATATATGAACGGATTCATTTTCTCTTCAATGGTTTAACAGTGTCCTGTAAACTGAAGAAGAAATACATGGCAATCTGTAAAGAATGTCTATATATAAATTCAAAAATGCCACACGAATATGGACATGGCTTTCCTTGTAACGTGCAAATCTGGACAGCAATCAGAAACTAAAATACAGGTTAAATCTTTAGAGTTCACTACTCCCTTTCCAGCCTTGCACTGACATCACCATCAGGGTCTGCTCCTATTTATTATTAAGAGTGCTCCTCCAGTGTTCCCAAACACTGACATATGTATTACTTTTGTTATAACTCCAGTCTAAGTAACAGTTTATGCATATTAGGTTAAATAGTGTTCCCAAGCACTTGCTGACTAGATAATGAAAGTCAGCTCAAGAATAGCCAAATCATTAACCAGGATGTTGGTACACTGAAATTGCCAAGCAATGACCTGCACTGCAGCTGAAGTGTGGTGCAGCAGCTGTCTAGCCAGCTACGGAAGCTGAGAGGGAACACAGGCCCATCCTGAGCAGGAACATGTGCTCCTGAGTGGAGGGTTTTTTTCCACAAAGAAAGGCCCAGGCACTTTCAGAGGCAACATTGTGCCTGTGAAGAACCCACCATGCTCCAAAAGGAGTCTGCAATTAGTTTTACATTTAACCTATCAGTCTGCACATCTCAGTCAAACACCCTCTCTTTCCGTGACAAAAATACTTGCTTTTACTTTCCTCACATGAAAAAACAAAAAAAACCCCATAAAACCAAGAGAGCTTTTTTTTTTTTTTTTTTTTTTACATTTCTGCAAAGCCAACACACCAATCTGCCTTGCAGAAATTGTCAACAGCTCCAGCAGATTTCTCATCGCCCCAGTGTTGCAATACATAGCAGGATATAATTTAATACTGGAACAGAAGAAGATCACATTTACAATGCCTCATTCAGGACAATCCTGCTGCCTCCTTCATATTCTTTGGAGCTGATGAACTAATAAAAGTTAATGCATTTATATCAGTCAAATAGCATGAGAAACCATATATCACCACCTGCTACTTATCACCAGTGTGGAATGTCACTAAACTACGTAATAAATTTGCTTTCTTAGAATACTTCTCCCTGGCATCCAAGCTCAGTATCCACAACTAAGCAATGTGCTTTTATTCTTATTTGCTTGCACATATAAAGCAGACGTACCACAGTGAGAGGAATGGTGAATGAACTACAGGACCTAGAATAAACTGATGATTTAGTTTTTCCCTGTGGTTATTGTAGCACTTCATAGCTATAATATAAATAATATGACTTGACCTTGATTTTAAAAAAATCATACCAAATATCTGTACAAGGACTGCAGAAGAGTTATCATAATTTATATTAAATTACTTTAAAGTAGTAGGACTTTTTTCCTGTTTATAATGTTACATTGAATTGGTAGGCTCCTTTCAGTAACAGACTGCTACTCAACATTAATTAATTTGAAATTACCACCATAGCGCAAAATCAAACCAGAATCTCCACTCCAGTTCAACACTTTATGGTGTTGTCCATTGAGACCTATTAATTCAACTGTCAACAGTAGCAGATGGAAGTCTACTAATAAATTCTAAGACTTTGGATTTTTCAAGCCATATTATATATTTATTTGAGTAAGTCCTTAAGCAATTTACAGTTAGAGAAATAAATAAAAGTGAATATAATTGATGCAATTGATGTTGAACTGTTTATTATCATTTCTGACTATCTGGAATGCTTAAAATCTAAAGTACCTATGGAATATTCATAATAGACAAACTTAAAAGTAAAGACCAGAAAATTCAGGAAATATTTCAATATACTGAAAAGGTAGCCTTCATTGATGTATTACTTTGGTATTTAGGTTTTGTGTGTTACAATGAAAGAACAAAGCAGTGACTCCAATAATTAAATATTGGACCTTTAATCTGCATTACACGGAAGGAAAAGCAAGCAGAAAAGGTGAGTTAACCCAATTAATAACTGGAAAGATGAATAGCATCAGCTGTACAAAACTGCCACTTCATAGCATTCCACAGGTAACATCTGTGGCTGAAAAGGAAAGGAAAGATGATTGGTTAAGGAAAGGAACCAGTTACCTTGCTTTTGAAGAGTTACAGGTTTATTCTGGCGGTGCAACAGAACATATGTCAGAGAAAATGTGGTTTAACTCATTTTACCCCAGTGAACTTCACATATGTCATAGGGCTTGGAATGTAAGTAGAGGCATGTTTATTCAAGTTGACTTAGTGTAATCTTTATCTCAAAATAAAAGAGTTATGCTGGATTATGCTTATGATTTAAGAGTGTAGATAACTGCAGTAAAGAAATTCAGCCAATCCTGCCACTGACCTAGAAAAGGAAGTATTCCATCACCTGAATGCACAAAACTAACAGCATCTCCGAAATCTGGGCAGAGAGGAGGAAACTACAAAAATACTTTCAAAGAAACTACTGAAGTATCCCTCTCAAGAATTACCCTTTTAAGATTCTTTTCCTAACCAAGGCTTTGGTGTAGCTAAGTAATCAGCGTTCCAGCTCAAATTAATTCAAAACCAAGTTCACAACTGCAATTATAGCCCCTTAGCCTGTCAGAGAGAATGTATCTTTATTTATTTATTCCTTTTATTATTCTATTTAATGTATCTATATTTATTTATTCCTCCTGCTACGCAGAAACTTTTCTAGTGAGAGAAGGAGTAAGAGATCTGAAATTGAATCAGTTTCTATAAGACCATGCAAAATGAGTTGTAAATACCTACTTTGGCTAAGGTTTCCCTACAGAGCTTAAGAAACCCCAGAAAACCAAAAATCAATAAATTAGCACCAGCCTAAGTTACAGACCAGTAACACAATATATGCAAAGTGAAAACAATTGCGCTAGATTATATATACTTTGACTGTCTTGGAACAGAGAGCTCAGAACAAAATGGAAAAAAAAATCTTGGAACAAATTTGAAGAGGGCAGGGAGAGCCATCCTGCCCAGCAAGAAGCAAAGAGGGTGCTCCAGAACAAGTATATTGGGAAACACGATATACTGAAGAACAGGGGAAAAAACAAAAAACAAAACAAAACAAAACAAAAAAAAAAAAAAAAAAAAAAAAAAGAAAAAAAAAGAAAGTATGGTGTGGGAAGAGACTTGACCTTAAAAAAAATTCTACCTAACAGCATCAAATTCACATTTTTCAAACTCTTTCCTTTCTAGGAAGCTGATAAGATTCTACCACCTTGATGTTGATTTGCTGGAACAGAAAACCACATTAAAGACGCACCTGGCTAACACACAGAGAAGAAAATACAGATCCTTTCCCATTCAAAGTGATATTGAGATAAATTCAGATTTAAGTGGTAATAAGGGAAGAAGACCGATGAGGTAAAATGGAAAGAAAAAAAGGGGAAAGTTTCTTCAGAGACTGACAGATTATTTTTTTAATAAAGAATTGCACCTTTCCCTGTCTCACTGGAAGCAGTCAAAAACCTGAAAAGAAATTCCATGTAGTCAGACTCCATGGAACTTAACATTTTATGGAGCAGACTAATATAGAAAATTTCTCTTTGTTCTTGCTTTTTCATAAGCACAGTCATTATCAAGCAGTAGTTACCGTAGAGCAGAGCTATATCAGACATACAGGACTAGAGTATAGTGCATTTTATGACTAAAATCTGTGAAAGTTCTCATTATAAAAACATTAATGAAAAGCCAGTACCAGACATCAAAAACATATACAGGCAGTATGGTGAGCCTAAAAAACTACTTAATTCTCTTATGACAACCCTTGACAAAAGCAATGATAACCACTCAAAGTATCCATTGCTGTAATGTATAAGCATCTTTTACAGAAAAATACTTACATATATCTGGATCTTTACTTTTCTTTGTTTTGTTACTAAGACTTATCTCAAATCTATTAATATCAGATGAAAGATCGCTAGGAGAAAAGACAGAGAGCCTCAATTAATACTATACATGGCTGGCATTCAAGCTTTTCCTCATTTCATTTCAATCCCAAATTATCATTATCAGCCACTTGTATTAGCAACGACAGGTGCCTACAGAAAATTCTGCCCATGCAGAATTTGTTTGAAAGGTTGCTGCTGTATAAGCACATATACAGTATTTTTTTAAATACTGTAGAACTATAAACAGGTGTTAAGAATCTTAAATCCAATACAAATTAAAAGTGAAATTTACTAATTCGAGATAATTAAAACTTACTCAAAGACGAATTCTTCAGACCACACAGGGTTCTGTCCTTCTCTGATGTGTGTTTTTGCTACCTGGACACTGTTCAGGTAGATGTTACAATACGGATTTGTAAAATGCTTTACTGGGAGTGTATGAGCTTCTTCTACATGCAAAATGAGACTGCTGACCTGAAAAGAAGATAAACTATTTATTTTTTGTTGCTAAAAATACAAAGCACGTGAATGAATTATTTTAATCTTCTATGTAGAGGATTAATGTTAATATGTGAATACTGAATACCAAACTCCTTATTAGAAGACTAAAGACAAAAGGTGTTGGAACATTTAAGAAGCATAAGGAAGCAAGAGTAACTCAAGTAATTAGTGAAAAAAAATTTCCAGACCCATGTTTTTAAGGCATCTTGGATTGAGGCATTAGAATTTGCAAATAACAACTTTTTCAGACATAGAAAATTTTACTGAAATGGAAGACTGGCACTTTGAGTAAGAGCCATGGACAATTCCAAACACAATGGTTTATTATTTGGTGCTTTCCTGACAGATTATGTAAAAATTCTATTGTGCAACACATTACACTGTATCCTTTTATGCAGATAAACACTGTCTTTGCTTTTTGAAAAAAATAATTCCTTTTTTGTTTAGCTTTTGCACATTGAAGCACCCAACTGCACCTGTCATTTTATCTGTAAATTCACCTGATTTAGTTCACTTATTCAGAAGTATCCAAACTTCTTTGATGTTCACAACCAAACAGTTGTGGTTGATTACTTTTTATTCACCATTTTATCCTGTAACAAATTACTATATTCAATATTCATAAGATTAAATCATATCAGGAATTCCTAAAGTATTTCCCTGTTAGTCTCCAATCATTACAGACATAGCTATTTAAGACTGATTGCCCTAAGAAATTCTGGCATGTATGGCACTTTCAAGAGGCCAACAGAAATTAAAACAAGCTTGGCTCAGCATGTATTTGTTACATAATATTATTATCATTAGTTAAATAATTCCATTTTATGTAAATAAAATGTGTCATAAATTTTTATAATTTTTTTAATTTCCCATATAAGGCATATTCGAAAAGCTGCTAACTTTTTAGACTTTTATTCAGGATTTTCTACTGTTGAAAGGAAAAATTCTGAGACTCAATAATATCATTTTGCACAGAGGAGGCAAAATACTTCTCCACATGCACCTCCAACACCACAGTATCAGCTTCACCTGACGCAGACGTTTATTTGACGTTCCTGGACTGGTTTTTCTTAAACTGCAAAACACCTGCAGAGCTTTCATCCAGTCCTAAGAGAGAAGAATGCAGAAGAATGTAATGAAACCAAGTCAGATACAGCTTCTTGCAGTGGAACAGACTGCAAAAAGTATCTGAATTGCTACTTTAACTTGGCAAATACCTAAGTTTTCTGTAATTCCATAGTACAAAAGTCTGAATATTAAAGCAAATTTGTTATCATTACTAAGCAAAACCTCATAAAGAATTTGCAAATCTGAACCTTTTTTTTTTATAGAATTATCAAGTATTACCAATGGATATACAGTGTGACCGTTACCAACTTTCCAGTGTAGTGATACTACATGAAATTGCAAATGGTATATAAAATTAAGAAAAAGTTGTTTGCTTCTGAGAAAATTGCATTTAACAAGCCAAACTGGTCTGATTATTCTCTCCAGTACTCCCATATGGCAGTCACAACACTGTATACTTCAAACAAATTAATAGAGAAACATAAAGCATATATCCAACATTCTCTAGTTTGTCTTTGGAAGGTGGAAGATGTATTATAGCCTCATTCACTAGTTACTGTTCCCAACCATTAAATCCTGTACAATTCTTCCAAAGCACAAAAGTTAAGTTTTGTCCAATAGTCTTCTCTTCAGTCAGTATCTCAAAGACCTTTAATCTACTCTCAAAGTACAATTTAGTAATGTCATTGAAACCTTCACAACACTTCTTCAATCATTCTTCACAGCACTTTCCACATCTTAAAAATACAGGAATATGTACGTACTGCATCTATTCTGAGCTTTGTGAGTTAGGCTTCAGCTTTCAAATCTTTCCAAGGAAAAGCTTTCAGCTACACTCCATCAAGTTTCTATTTTTCTATAAAATGTCAGAAAGTAAAGAAAGCTGAGCTTTCTCAAGAGATAAATATTTGTAAACTTTTCTGGGCCAAAGCCATATTATAAAGAAATCTGAAATAACTGTGTTCTGTGTAAATACAGTGAACAGCTTGTTAAGCACTTTGAAAACCAAATTAAACAAAATGTTCAGGAAACAAAACAGGATATTCTATCTTCTATGTGTTCTTAATTATTTTACGTTTTAGAAAATGAATGATTTTACAGATATAACAAAAATTAAGGATCATGGCATTTAATTTATTCATTCTCAATTATGATACAGCATACTGCTTCTCAAAGACAGTACACTGCCAGTTGTATGACAAATTCCACTATATAATTCTTATGTCATATCTGCAAATTTAACAATTGGCATTAATTTAAAAAGAAAATATGTTCTTTCTTTTATATACAGCACACAAAAAATATTAAATTTATATAGACTTCATGCTCTAGTGAATACAGTCTGTTATGAGTGCTCCAAAAAGCTTTCATAATAACGTCAAATGCAAAGCTTGACTTCTAATGCAACATATACATCAGAGCTTGTGAACTTGCACAGCTTGAAACCTAAACAAGAACACTGTATCATTTTAGATACAATCTATGGGTAAAATAATTTCTGAGAAGTAGGCTTCTATCCCACAAGTCTTAATCAGTGAACATGACTGTTAAGAGAGCTAGTAACTAAAGATACCATATAAACCCAGAAAACCTTACACTGTGCACCATCACGGCCAAAAACTATGCATGACTACCAGTTTATATACATGACAAATAACTGGAAAAGGCAGTTCAATTAACTTTGGTCACTGGGCACACATACATGCATTAGCATTTTATTTATTTCACTCTGAAGTAAAACTCTCACTTACTATGCTGTGTTTTATAGCATGGAAAAGACCTGGAGAGTAATTTTTTTCTTCTGAATCGAACTATGTCAAAAGACATGTATGTTCTCCAGAAACAGGTAGCAGAAAATAATGGAAGTTCTGCACATGGGACCTGACTGGAATTTGTCAAAACTGAAACCCTGAAGAACAGGTAATACAGGTGCTAGATTTCCAGCACCAACCTTCCCCCTCAGAGATCTGCTACCAGTTAATTCTAACACCTGCTTTATAACCACTAAATATTTGTGATATATTTGCTTCCTGTTTCAGAAGGGCAACATAACTGAAAGACACAATATTAAAAGTTACATTTTTACACTTAGCAAATAAAAGCTCTCACCTGTGCTTGTTCTGGAGTTTCACCTGCAAAGTAAAAGATGTAATGCTCTTCACTAAAGTGCTGAACTACTATCTGAAAACAGTTTGGCCTTAAAAATAAAAAAAAAAAAAAACAACAAAAATTAAGTTTATTTAATCTTCACATATTAACAGACACCTTCACTTGATCTGTGCCGAAAAAAAGTTTACAGTGAACTAACAGATTTCTCCTGTTTATCTGTAAGGTGCATTGAATAATTACATCAATTTTTGTTCACCTACTTGTTACCATCACAAATGGAAAGAGGAAGACTTCCAACAAGATTTATCAGATCTTCAAAAACTGCATTTTGGTTTTGAATGTATTCTGTCATTTTAAGAGAACTACAGTACATGCAGCCTGCTTCAGAATATTAACATGTTTTTAGAATGGTGCATACTCAACAGGGATGTATGCTGGTTTATAGTTAAGGCAAAAAACCACTTGTCAACAAGGATTATTCCTAGAGAGTTTAAAAGCAGTGTAAGTTCAGCATTATTTCACAATCAGTTAATCATACATTAAGTATTTTTATTTCAGGAAAAAGTATTAATCTAAGGAATCCCCTATATGACTGTGTCCCACAGCTCTCATGACCAGTAAAATGTGTACCAGATCATACAAATATCATACAAAATATTTGAGTGTATGTGACACAAACCTCTACAATGCTTAACCTCTTAAATGCTGCAGAAGTACAGAATTCACTGTACTTCTGAAGAAAGGGAAGAGACAGTTTTTTATCAGCTACTTCAAGTTCAGGAGGAACTTTGTCTCAACTGCAGTTCCTCACTAACAGCTTCCTAAGCTGCTGCAACCACCCATGTCCTCCTACACACCTGTTAAGTACC